GCCACAGCTGTATGCCTCTCTTAACAGAGCTCTGCTGCCTTGACTTGAGTAAAACAGCTCTGGTTCCCCACAAACAGCCCCTCTCCCTGTGCACACGTATCTTCTGGGCCGGTCCGCACCATGCCGCCTTCAGGGCTGCACCCAGAGTCCTCAGAGCAGCTGAGAGGCTCCTCTTTCTACAAACAGAAACATCTCTCACTGGGTGAGCAGCCGAAACCTTCCAGCAGCTAGATGGCTGCTGGATGGTCCCTTACCTGTGGCTTATTTTTTGAGCTTCTGCAAAATAAATCAAAACCCACCTAAGTCATTAAAACTGACTATACTTCAATAAAAATATATTAAAAAATTAATAAGCTTTAAGGCAGAGAAACAAAAGCAAAAAACCCAAAAACAAAAAACAGCAAAAAATCAGGCAGGGAAAAGGGTAACAAACACTGTAAGAAGGAAAGGGCAGCGTCATGGACTATCTGTTTGGTTTTAGAACAGTGTGAACATTTAGAATTTTTAACCAAAACCCCTCTGTAGGTCTGTTTTCTCTGCCTTGATTCTCCTGGGTTAAATGTTCTCACACCAAGCTCTGCTCCACCCGTGTCAGTGTGTAGTGATTAGCCCGCAATTATCACCTGGTTTGGGAGTGCATTTTTTTTTCAGTCAGGACAGATGATAGGAAATGCTACTACAATCAATTATTTCTATGTGTCTCCTGGAATTAGAACGATGCTATAGATATCTTTCAGAAGTTATTATCTTCCAGCTTTTTAAATAGTGAATTCCAGAACTTAATGGGGGAATGTTAACAGCTATAATTCAAGTTTGTCTATTTGGGGAGTTTCCCATATATTTTGACTCAAAATTTTCCACAAACACTGAAATGGACTGAAGTCATTCCTCATTCCTTAATGCTAATAAAAAACACCTGCTAGCTGCCTCCAGTACGTACTTCCTCTTTATTTTACAGAGTAGCTTTATATTAGCATTAATCTTAGATCACGGTTGGGGCAGAGAAGATACAATGGAAAGAAACCTGGCCTTGACAATGTGAGAACGTATGAAAAAAGCCTGCATCGAAAAAGCCAACAAACCCAAATGTGGGAACTCGTGAGTTTATTCCCCTTGCTGTGGCTTCTGTGAGCAGGTGCTTTGAGCAGCAGGTGCTGTATTTCACCTAAGCTGTGCACGAGGACTTCGCCTGAAAGAGCAATCCTGCTGCTGCTCTCCTCTTGCCAGCCCACCCCATTCCATCGCATCCTTCACTGCCACGTTCGCATCCCAAGTGTTCCACAGGCCTTCTCTCCTCCTCTAACTTGCAGAAGGTGGGTGTAAGTCCTACACTGGAAGGTTCTTTTTTCTGCGTTATGATGCTTCACGAATGTCAGTTTTGTTTTCTCAGCTACTTTAAGGCTTCAGAAATTTCAAAATAAATGAAATGGTTCAACTTCACTTTATTCTTCCTTAACTTATTTGGTTATTTGACTAATAGGGGTTCCAACACATAACTTTAATATTTCAGGTCAAAATATTTTTGCCCGATAAAGACAAATTAATCTCCAGCATACATCTGTTCTGAGAGCACAGTGTTCACAGGCTCACTGGGGACTAGGATCTCCTGGACTACGTGATCTCCACAAAGTTTCCCATATGATAGCTGAAACAATTTTCATTAGAGCACATTTACACCCACATGTATTGTATTTGCCATCCATGTGTATTATATGTGCAAAAATGTTCTTTACTTCAAACTACTGATACACAACTTTTAAATCATGACCCATTAGGGACTGTCAATATAATCCTGGTCAAATTGTATTTGAAAGGGAGGGTATAATTCAATTGTAGAGTGCATGCTTAGCATGCATGAGGTCCTGGGTTCAATCCCCAGAACCTCCATCAAATAAATAAATAAGCCTAATTAACTCCCCCGACCCCCAAATCATATATTAGAACATGAACAATCTTCATATCTGAATGGATTTCAATCACACCAAACTAAAAATAACTTTAAATAAGCCACATACAGACACACTTAATGGCCCTAAGTTTACACTAAGTAATACAAGTTGGCATGGGTGTCTGAATTCAGTGATTCCTAAACCAAATTTAATATTGATTTTTCCAAAGACAAATCCAGAAAGGGCCACCTTTGGGCTCTGCTTGTCCTGAGATAAGGACAGGCGGCAGGGGTCCTCCGTAGAAGGCGCACCGACGAAGGACAGGGCAGACAGGCAAGACACATCCTCTGAGGGTGGGATAAAGGGGGCATGGTTGTCTTTGAGTCTGAGGCAGACTCCAGAAACAAGGAGCGTGAGTCCAGAACAATTACAACCAGAAGCTAGACGTGAACCCCATGACCTGACTGGTCCTGCGATTCCAGGATGAAATCCAGCTCAGCACAAAGGCACTATTCTCTTATGCACCTATTTGATCAATTAGGTCAGATGCCAACATGGTACTCTTGCTAGAAATTAACAAAAAGTTCTTTTTAGTTAGATTTGTTCTACCAACTGCTGCTAATTATAAAGAGCTATAGTATTGAGTGATTATTTTGACTAAATGAAAGAATGAAAACTAAAATGAAAGTCAGAGTAAGTCACTCCCCAGTTCCTATCCTTCAGGGTCTCCCCGTCCTGTGGTCAAGTGTCCTGATCTGGCACAGAAGGCCTTCCATAACTTGGCTTCCACAGCTTCCATCCACTTTTCACCCCTCCCCCCGGTGAACGCTGCACACATGCCATTTCGGGCCACTGCCCTGACACGTGCTGTTCTCTCTGACATCATTCCCCTACCATGTCACTGGGTGCCCCCTTCCCACACATCCTTCAAGCCTCAGCCCAGGTGTCACCCTTTCCAGGAAGTTTTCCCTGACTCCCCCAGACTTGGCGACGCGCTGCCTACTCCGAGCTCCCACCGCACCTGGGTGCGGACTTCTACCAGTGCTCTCAGCACTTTGTACAGAATAATCGCTCATTGGTGACCTGCCCCACCAGCCTGGACCTCCTCAAGGGCAGGCACCATGTTTACTCCTGTTTGTTGGCACAACACCAAGCACATGGCTGAGCACATCGCTGGCACTCAGTAAATGCCAGGTGAATGCATATGCGAGCCTTCTACAAACAAAATCAGGTTTAAAATGTCACTGGAATAACTGTGTTCTACTTCTGATCATGAGCTGGGAGGCGCACTATGAAATCGGAGAGCAGCCTGATTCAGAAAAGGGACACAGTGAGCACTGAGAAACTGGATGCCCTTCAGTGTACTTTCTGTGTACCACACAGCTCACTTTTTCTCAAGTGGAGTAAAAAGCAGGACACTGAAGAAAAGAAAACAAGTTCTGTAAGTTTGAGGATTGACAAGGTTGTCTTTGAGTCTGATGCAAACTCCAATTATCCATTTATGAAAGTCCAAATTAAATGACCTCTTCTCTCACTCTTTACTTAATTAAAATATGTTATGGTAAAAATCGGCTCTCTCCCTGTTAACCTGGCTAAGGAAACGGAACCAAGATCATCAAATGGGCTTTTACTGAAATTTTTCAGTAAAAATACTTATTTTGGCTAACTTAGTATCTTTAAGAAAATAAGCAGTTGCAAAAATTTCCATATTACAACTCAAATAGAGAACTTCAGAGAAAACAGACACTTGTGGACAAGAGTTATTTTCGCAGTACAGGACTACAGCTTGCATACAGCAACCCCTCCATAGTGAATTAGATGCTTGCTTTTCCCCTGAAAAGACTGGAAGAGTCTCACTGCTGTCAGAGCCAAAACAGGCTCTTCTGGGTGTCACACTCAATGCCTAATTCAGTTCAGTCAAATGACCACCATGAAAGATGCGAGAAATAAAACATGAAAAAAAAATCTCTGATGCTGAAGCTCCAGTCTTCACCTCTGCTGATCTTTTTAACACTGAGGAACTTTATCAAGTTATGAAATACTCAATCGGAAAAATCTGATTCTGTTCCTCTGAAAACTGATCTATGTTGCTTGATGTACTATAACTTAGGATGTCAGGGTTTTTTTTGGTTTTTCTGGGGTTTTTTTGTTGTTGTTGTTGCTGGTTTATACTGAAATCATAGACAGTTTATCGAACAGTGTTTTGGAGTTTGAGGAAAGAAAGTGATTTCTCACAGAGAGTGAAATCTAGTCCAGAAATGAATTTAGCATGTTGGTTTATTAAGAAAATGCTTGGCTGTATCCACTGGAGAATCCCTTTGAGCAACGCATTTGATGATTTAGCCATATGAAACAAAACAAAAACCCCAAACACTTTTCCTACCACATTTCTAGAAATATCTAAAGCTCTTAACTTTTTTGCAATAATAAATTGATAAAATATTGGGTATTTGAGAGTTAAAAAGGAATCACAAACTTTACAGCAATATAAACAACCTGATATCAATGTGCAATACAGGTTGCTGAGAGAAGTTGTTTGTTATTGAACAATGTTAATATTACATATTTCCATTTTCAAAAATCTGTGTGCTTATTTGTCTATGATAAAAAGACCCAAAAGCAAAGGAGCGCTATGTCTGGGACTAGCCTGTAGCTGTTTTAAGCATTAACTATCACAAACTTTCACCTACATTTGCTGAAATGTTTCGCGGGGTTTTGTCTCTTTGCCCTCCCCTTTCCACGTGCCAGCCAGATTCCTCTGTGCTTCCCCTCTAGTGAACACCAGGCACACTCCAGTTGTCTCTGGTCTACAGACCTTTCATCCTCTAAATTTTGGTATTTAATATCAACATTAGATGTTAATGGCCTTCTACTTTTCAGTGTTCCCAGCTACACTGTAAACTTACACGACCATCTTGTCAGCTCTTGTATCCTCACCAATAACTTGTGTATTTGCAAACCACGACTCTAGGGCTATCTAGCACTGTGCACAGAAAGCCAAAGAACGAAATGCAAACCAGAGCTTAAGATCAAGAAGGATGATGTCATTTCATTCCTTTGCTACGATTTCTGCACTCTCAGAATTCACCTGGAATAGCGCTGGTGGCTTACCTTGTGTCTGGCTTTAGATTTTCTACTGTGGAGAAGGTTTGATTTGTAGTTTGAATGGACTTGTTCTTCCCACTGAATGATCCATTTTCTCTGGATATAACTTCATATTCTGAAAAGCAAAAAAGCCAACAGTCTTTACGTTCTGGAGATTTAATTGTTCTTGAAGCTAACAGCATAACAAAGTCACTCTCATAAAAGTGAGCAACTGAGACTGCGGTCCTAGAAGTGGATTGATGGTGCACATTAGTAACTTCCAAATGGGGACTGTCAGCAGACGATGACGATCCCAGAGCATTGTGGGAGTTGCTCACTGACCATTTCTGTTTTCTCTTTACCAGAGCAGGAAAGGTCTGGTAACTGTGAAGACTGATGACTAACCTATGGTAGCACTGGATACTGGTACCCTACGATTTTGGTAGGTAAGTCAGATAGTCTGCCATCATTGGAAAGCCCAGTGTGGGGAAAGCACTGTATGAGGAGTGGTGGTTCAGTAGAAGCTCACTTCCTGCTCAACAGGGATTTACGATATAGCTGGGGACAGTGTTACTGAATACACAGTACTGCTGCAAAAACTTTGAGTTTAAAACCATAGCAGCAAATAACAATTAACTAAGTAATGAGCTATACTCTCCTATAACTTGTTATTTTGAACTATAGAATTACGGGATGCTGGCACCTACTGCTTATGTAAGTTGCTTAAGTTTTGCACATACTGTTTACATTGCCCCCTTGATAATTACCCTTTTATTAAAAATAAAATTATGCCCTTAAAGTCTACTTAGAGATCTGCATAAATTTAACTTAAGGACATGTTTCTGTGAACTTGTAGTTATCTTCATAATTTAAAAGATAGAATTTCTTTCAGAATCTTAGCTTCATAAATATGTCTTTCATTTTTAAGGCTTTAAAGTGATAATGGCTTTTTCACAAATCCACCAACAATATAAAAATCTACCACCACCAACACAAAAGTATGTGCCCGTATTTCTTATTTTAAAATAGAGGATTTTAGAAATAATTTCATTAACAGTAAAGGTGTAAAAAAATCTACAAAGAACTAATACTGAATAATTGGTATCTTCTTTCCCCTCGGAGGGTTTTATTGCCTTATTATGAGATAATTCACTTAGAAAATACTTATTTATTACAAAGATTGGGAACAACGCATTCTTGTCAACAGACCATGAAAATAATGAGAATACTATGTCTATCAGCCCTCCTGCTGTTACTACTGACAAACAGTAATTTAACAGCTTCTAATTTATGCTGTACAAACTCTCTAAGTTTTATACTCACAATAAATTGCTAACACTGCAAACTATCATTATTATTATTAAATAAAAACCCTAAAGTTCAAAGAGGCTAATTATATACCTATGTTGGATATCTAGAACACAGCCGGTCTGCAATTTAAATCTATGTCAGGATGCTCTTGACGTAGAACGAAATGACACCTTTTAAATAACTTGAAGTTGTCCAAGGACCCAGGCTATGGCCAATTTCTGTGGTGCACCTATGTTGGTGTAGAAGAGACTAGGAGAAGCATCTGAATTTGGATGTTTTTACTAGCGGTGAACATATGCTTGTCAATTACTGACAGAGGTCAACCTGGGAAGGAAGAATATGTTTCACTCTCTTTTTATCTTTCTCACTCCTTTCTTACAAAACCATTTTCCAGTGATGTGAGAATTAACCTATTATCCAAGCTGCTAGTTTATAAAAGATTACATATGAAATAAAGTGGTATTTAATGTAACACAAAAAAATAAACAAAAATTGAAAAAATAGGACAGATCTTTAGGGTATATGGTCCAACATTTAAATATAGACTAGGTGAGTAATGGTTAGGTATGGACTTATTTCTATTTAGAAAATACTATAGCTATAGATGTGGTCTTTATCCATGAAAATTATTATTATAAGTCCAGTATCTAGTGAAAGATCTCATAATAATGTTATAAAAGTAATTGGTTAAAGTATATGCTATTAATGATTCTTTGAGATTACAGGTTTATGTAATTTTTTAAAAAGTTGTATGATGGAAGGAAAATCTAGAAAAGAAAATCCTTCTGCTTTAAAAAGTTAAATCAGCTATTACTGACATACTCAAGTGAATATGTATAGATTTTCAGATACTTTAGATTAACCAGTTCTAACTTGATGTCCTCTGTATTTAAGGCAAGTGAAATTTTATAGACCATTTGGTTTTGTGAGAACTAGGCCTCAGACTATCACAGGAACTCCTTACTAGCATTGCATACGAATTGAGAGTTTTGAACTTTTTAATACGGGTAGATAATCAATAATTAGAGATTGATTTTTAGATGTTGGGAAGACAGCACCTACTGACGTAGTTCCAAGTAAAGAAGCAAGACTAGTCAGATCCCCAGGAACCACAGGCAGCGGCTGCTTCTCAAAACAAAGGCAACCCTTGCACGAGAAAGAAAACACACAAATTTTTTTTTTTTTTAAAGCCAGCTAAGCAAAGATAAGCTGCTTACACTGAAGGTTGCCCAGAACAAAGGATTGTGTCTGAGGAGAAAGAGCTGCCGTTTCCTCCGTTACTCACAGAAAACTTTTTTGGCAGCTCCTTGAACCTCCCCACTCCTCACCTTGCATTGTGTACCGCTTTCTACTCCCCCTGACAGCCTCTGGGTGGGCGCCTCCCCTCACTGTCCACCTGTCCCAGGCACAGGGAGGGGACGTGGGCAGCGGGAACCTTGTGGACTCACGCTCTTTGCTGTATCTTCTAGCTGATTTAGGCTGCTAGTCTTCCCACCCACCCCTTCCCTCTAGTTTGACTATCCTGTTCACTATGGAGAATTAAAATCCCGTACAACAAATTCAAAGAACAAATTCAAATTCAAAGAACAACTTATTTTTTATAGTCATTTTTAGAGAAATTGGGTGAGTGATTAGCAGAATTAAAATCTTCTGAGATGAGCAGAAAATTGACCAGGAATAGAATTAAAAAAAATTTAACAAAAATGACTGAAATAACTTTTAGCCTGCTTGAAAATTCTAGGTCCATCTAGAAATTGGGATGGTGAAAGGAAAACAGGCTTAAATATTATCAGCAGTGGTAACTTCCCATATGTTATCTGTAATTTTCTGGTAATGAAATGTGAAGGTATATCGAGTCTGGATGGTTTTGAAAAATCTCATCTTGATGGAAGGTATGCAACTTAAAGAGATCTGCTAAATTATCAGGGAGCCCATAGACAGGCCAGAGATTATCTTTCCCCATCTCATGACACTACTGATAACAGTGTGCCACAGGGACAGCAGAATCTGCTAGGACCTGCTACTCCTGAACTATGCCTCACAAGTCATAGTTGGACTCAAGGCACCACACTGAGGTATTGCATTGTCAGCTTCCCACCATAGTGACAGTCCTCATGCCATGATCTTACCAGTGACAGTGTCATTTAGTGGCTTATCCCAGTCCAAGATGACAAATGAAGGACATCCTTCCACAGTGACCACAGTGAGGTTGGTAGGTGGGTTCTGCGGGGGGCTGGTGGCATTCCCCTCGGTGGCCTCTTCTTTGGGGAATCGTTTGATGGAGTCAGTGATGGAGCAGGGCCTGTTGTCAGGCTTTTGGATATACCGCACGTGAGGACCTAAGAGAGAGACGACACTGACACTGAGCATTTTTCGAGCTTGTAAGGAAGGTGGAGGTGAACTCATAAATAAAATTATCTGCTTGAGGACATTGGTCTGACATTTTAAGCAGATGGAATGAAAGCAGTGATGTGAATGGTCTGATCTATGAAAATCCGGAATCCTGTCTTCGGGATGCACAACATGCATGTTATTGTTGATTTACTCTTCTAAATAGGTGTAGCTTGCGCTCATATCCAAAAGAAACCTGGCTCCCCTGAGCACGGTTTAAACTGCATAATTTACAGGGCACTGGAAAGGGTACTCAAAAGGGTCTTGCCTTTGTGGTGAGGAATGATCAGCCCTCAGTAAACACAGTTCTGGTCCCACCCAGTAAATCTTAAAAGCTAGACTCAGAAGGATCAAGTGGTTTCAAGTTATTTAACTGCACCCCAGAATAAAATCTAAGAAAATTTTAGGAATAAAAAATATATTCTGCACCCAACCAGATAAAATTACAGGAAAATATTACCCATCATGAGGAGAAAAATAAATCATTTGAAGCCAGCCTAGAACTTGGGTCGATATTCGAATCATCAGACAAGGACAATAGAACAGTTACTATCACTATAATCCACATGGTCATAAAATTAAGAAATGGAAGATATAAAAGAGATCCAAATTAAATTTCTAGAGATATTTAAAGGAAGCAGAGAAGAAAATACATGTTACATACAGAACAATAAAGATAAGGATTGTGGCAGATTTGTCACTGGGAAGAATGCAAGTGAGAAGGCAGTAGAGCAATGACTGCGTAGACTAACAAGCCAAACCAAAACCCCTGTCATCTAGAATTCTGTAACAACTGAAAATCTCTCTTTTTTCTTTTCCCTTTCTTCCTTCCTTCCTTTCTTTTTCTTTCTTTGAGTGTGGGGAAGGTAATTAGGTTTATTTATTCATTTACTTACTTTTTAATGGAGATAGCAGGCATTGAACCCAGGACCCTGTGCAAGCTAAGCATGAGCTCTCCCACTGAGCTATACCCTCCCCCCTGAAACTATCTTTACAAAAAGCAAAGCAAAATACTTTCTAGACATTCAAAAGCTGACAGAATTCATAAGCAGCAGAGTCATCCCACAAGAAAAATTCAAATTCAAGGAAGTCCTTCCAGGCAGACGGAAAATGGTGCCGGATGGAAATATGGCTCCACACAAAGGGATGAAGAGCACTGGAAACAGTAACCCTATAGGTAAGTAAACATGATATTTTTATTATTTAATTATCTCAAAATAATTTGTTATTTAAACAAAAATAATAATAATTTAGTGTGATGTATATAACATGTAAGAGTAAACTGTATAATGACAACAGCCCAAAGGCCAGGAGGAGAGAAAAGCTCTATACTTGTGTAAGGTTCTTACACTGTGAAGTTGTCTGGAAGGTAGACTGTGGCAAGTTAAAGATGCACTCTATGAGCCCCAAAGCAACCACTAAAATAACAAAACAAAGAATTATAGCTAATAAGATAACCAAAAAGATAAAATGGAGTCATAAAAATACCCAGTCCAAAAGAAGGCTGAAAAAGAAGGAAAGAGGGAACAAAGAATAGAAAACAAACAGCAAGATGATGATAAATTTAAACTTAACCATCTCATTAGTCACATTAACTGTAAGGTTCCAAACAGCCCAAATAAAACACAGAGATTGTTAGACTGGGTGAAAAAGCAAGACCCAACTATATGTTACTTATAAGAAAAACATTTTAAATATACAGAGACTAATAGGGTAAGAGTAAAAGGATGAGAAGAAGAGATACCATGATAACCTTTTTCAAAAGAAAGCTTGAATGAATATAGAAGTATCAACAAATCAGATTTCAGAGCAAAGAATGTTACCATAAACAGAAAAAGTCACTTAATAATGACAAAGGATCAATTCATTAGGAGTTTATTACAATCCTAAGTAATTTAGGTCTATACCTAAATACAGGCCTTTAATATACATGTAGCAAAAACTGATAGAACTGCAAGTAGAAATAAATCCACAATTAGAGTCAGAGATTTCAGCATTCTTCTCTCATTAACTGATAGAATAAGCAGACAGAAGATCATTAGGGATATAAAAGAACTGCACAATGCAGCCAAGCAACTGGACCTAACTGACATGTACAGAACACTGTATGGTCTGAAATGTGTTTCCCTAAAATTCCTAGGTTGAAGCCTTAACTTCCAATGTGAGAAACCAAACCTGGTATCTTGCTCTCAGATTTCTGGCCTCCAGAACTGTAAGAGAACAAATCTCTGCTGTTTAAGCCGGCAAGCCTATGGTATTTTGTATGGCAGCCCTAGCAAACACATACATCATTCCACTTAAGAATAGCAGAATACACGTTCTTTTCAAGTACGTTCAGAATATATATCAAGATAGACTATATTCTGGGCCATAAAAAGTCTTAATAAATTTAAAAGGATTCAAGTAATACAGAGAATCTGACAACAATGGAGTTAAATTAGAAATCAGTAACAATAATCTCCAGAAAATCTTGAAATATTTAGAAATTAAAAACATACTTCTAATAAGTCAAAGAAGAAACCAAAAGGGAAATTAAAAAGTATTTTGAACAGAGTAAAAATGAAAACACAACATATCAAAAATGTTTGGACGCTGCTTAAACAATATCCAGAGGAAAATTGGTGGCACTAAATTCCATATTAAAAAAGAAGAGAGATCCCAAATCAATAAGCTCATCTTCTACCTGAAGAAATTAGAATTAGAAGAGAAAATTAAACTCAAATTAAGTCGAAGAAGGAAACAATAAAGATCAGAGTAAAATAAATGAAAGAGAAAACAGAAAAACAACAGACTGAAATCAATGAAACAAAAGGTTGAACTTGTCAGAAGATCAAAAGAATTGATAAACCTACAGCCTGACTGATTAGGCAAAAGAGAAAAAAGACACATTATCATAACAGCAATGAGAGAGGTGACATCAATACAGATTACACAGTATCAAAATATAATCAGAGAATATGAACAACTTTATGCCAATAAATTTGACAACTTAGATGATACAGTCCAATAAGTTGAAAGACAAGAATTACCAAAGCTCACTACAGACAAAATATTCTGAACAGTTGCATATCTTTTAACGAAAGTAAATTATACGAAAAATCCTTCTCACAAAGAGAATGTGTGGTTCAGATGGCTTTACTGGTAAATACTACCAAATATTTAGGGAAGCAATACCAATTCTAAACTCTTTCAGAAAATTGAAGAGGAGAGTTCAGCATTATTTTGATACTAAAACTTGTCCTAGACATTACAAGAAAACTATAGACAAATATCCCACACTGAATATAATTCCGTACAAAATTTTAGCAAATTGAATCCAATAGTACATTAAAATGAGAATGCACTATAACCAAGTAGAATTTGTCCCTGGAATGAAAAGTTAGTCTAAAATTCAAGAATAATTACTCTACCATATTAATACACTAAAAAAGAAAAACCATATAATCATCCCAATAAAGGCAGAAAAATCATTAGACATAATCTAGCATAACAATTCTCACTAAAGGAGGAACAGAAGAAAACTTTCTCAACCCAATAAAGGGCATCTATGAAAAACCTACAGGTAACACCATACTTAATGGTGAAAGACTGAATGCTTTTCCCATAAGATGTGGAACAAGAAAAAGATGCCCATCCCCACTATTTTTATTCAGTATTTTACTAGAGGTTCTTGCCAGTACAATAATGCAAGAAAAAAAGTTGGAAAGGAGGAAGTAAAACTTTCCTCTCAGATGACACGATTCTGTATGTAGAAAATCAAATGGACCTATGAAAAAAACAAAACAAAAAACCCCCCAAAAAACAAAAAAACTTACAGAGCTTTGCAAGGTTGCAGAACACAAGATCAATGTACAAAAACCAGTTGTTTTTCTATGTATTAGCAATGAATAACTAGAAACTGAAATAAGAAATACTACTTTCACAGTTGTCTTTACACTGAAAACTACAAAACACTGGTGTGAGAAATTGAAAAGACCTAAACAAATGGTAAGATATACCATGTTTATAGATAGCAAGACTTAACAGTGTACAGTTGTCAACTTTTCCCAATGGAACTACACATTCAACACAATTCTAATAAAAATCTAAGTAGGATATTTCTTTTTTAGACATTGAGAAGCTCATTTTAAAATTCAGATGGAAATACAAAAGGACCAGAGTCACCAAAACAACTTTAGAAAAATATGAATAATGTTAGAGGACTAAGACAACCTGACTGCAGCACTTATCATAAAACCACAGTGATCCAGACACGGAGGTATGATGGAAAGGTAGATAAACAGATCAGTGGAATAGACTACACAACCTCAAAATAGTTCCACATATATATGGACAATTGATTTTTGACAAAGGTACAAATAAAACTAAGTGGGGAAGGAATATTTTTTTCAACAAATGATGCTGGAACAATTGATAGTCATAAGCAAGAAAATAAACTTGCATTCATATCTTGTATCATATATAAAATTTGACTCAATAAAGATCATAGTCCTAAATGTAAAAGTAGAACCCTTCTAGAAGGAAACAGAGGCGAAATTTCTACAAAGAAACAGAGGAGGGCTTTGTGACCTCTGATTAGTCAGTGATTTCTTAAATACAACACCGAAGATACAATCTATAAAAAACCAAACTGATAAACTGAGCCTCATTAAAATTAAAAAAGAGAAGCCACACACTGGGATAAAATAGTTGCAAAGCATGTATCTGAAAAAGGTCTTCCACCCTGAAAATATAAAAACTCTTAAAACTCAACAATAAGAAAATAAGTAACTGCATAAACAATAGACAAAAATTTGAACAGACACATCGAAAAAGATATATGGATCATAAACAAGGACACAAAAGGATGTTCACCATCCTTAGTCATTAGGGATATGCAAAGTAAAATCATAATCAGATACTAACACACTAAAGTGGCTGAAATTAAGAAGTCTGACAATACCAAGAGTTGGCAAAGATGTGGAGGAACTGGAACTCTCACACACTGCTGACAGGAAGGTAAAACATTACAACTGCTAAGGAAACCAGTTTGGCAGTTCCTTAAAGTGTTAAATATATACTTACATATGATCTAGCTACTTCCCTTATAGGAATTTGTTGAAAAGAAGTGAAAGCATACGTCTATACAAAGCTTTGGACATGAGTGATCATAGCAGCTTTATTGGTAAGGTAAAAATGTTAGAAACAACACAAATGTCATGAACAGGTTTAATAAATTATTATACATCTGTATAATAGAATGCTAGCTGGCAAGAAAAAGGAACAGACTATTGATACCTGTAGCAACCAGGGTGAATCTCCAAATAATTATGTTAGGTGAAAGAAATCAGAGAAAAAAGTTCATACTGTATTTTTTCACTTATATAAAATTCCAAAAATATATACTTAACTACAATGTGGCAGATCTGTGGTTACCCAGGGACTAGAAGTTGGGTGGGATGAGTGAGAAGGAGGGATTATGAAAGTACATGATAAAACTTTTGTAGGTGGTGCATGTATTCATTATCTTGATTGGGATGATAGTTTCATGGATATATACATATGCTAAAATTTGTCAAATTTAATACTTCAGAAAAACATATTACAAAAGGAAATGCTGGGTTCTATATCACATAATACCTCTCCTATTGCAGTAGATTAGATTATTGTTAAAAAATATTCTTTATGTCCATGGAAGGAGCATACTCCCCTAATCCTTGATTGGAGATATGACTATGTGATATTCTTTAGCTAATGGATTCTGGCAGGTGTAACATAAGAAAGAGCTTGAAATGTGGTTGTGTATTTGTACTCCCCCTCTCTTCATTTTGTATTGTCATGAGAATGGCTTCTCCTGAGTCACTTCTGTTGATCCCTCATCCTAGGCACCAGAATGAGCAGATGTGTAGCAGATCTGAGCCCAACCTATAAGAGGTCCAGCTGTACCTGCTGCTAGAAGCAGAACCATCCAGCCAAGCACATCCTAGATCAGCTGATCCCCAGGCGAGTTGTAGACACATAGGAAATAAATCCTTATTACAGTATGCTACTAAGATTTTTATGGCTGTTTATTACACAGCAACAGCTGACTCATACACCCACCAAAAATAGCTTTGTTAAAATTGAGATTTGGAGCCAATCATACACATACCTTTGAATCTGGGCTTCCCAAGAGGATCAGTTTCTCTTGTTGGACTTGAGCTAAAGTCAGTCATATTACCTGAGAATGGAAGATACAATGAAAAAGTAGTAAAGACTACAAGTATTTAATATGCCTCCTAGTCAACTGCTTGTAACTTTGATTTCTATTATTATTATTATTACTATCATCGTCATCTACAATAAAAGTCTTTTGTGTCCTGCTGCAAGTATTCTGGAGTGTAATAAATAATTATTTAAAGATTACAACCAAGCAGCTAATGTTCACAAATAAATTAAGATGTGTACTTAGTAATGAAATGTGATTTAGTAAGAAGCATTGGCTAATCTAGACTTTTTAAGGAAGACTTTCTTAAAGGTCTTGGGCACTTTCTTCTGCATCTGCAAAGGGAAGGAGTACCTTCTATAACAAAGTATTAAAATGAAGCATAATTTTTAAATTAAAAAGTCGCATAATTATTACAAAATTGAGTAAGATAGATGACCGAAAACTGAAAGTCTTTTCTCTCTAATTTGAAATCCTTCAGTACTTCACAGCTAAGCAACCAGTGGGCAGTGACTGACATACTAACCAAGATCTTCTCCTGAGGCAGGAACTGTTGGTAGCTTTCCATCCACCTCTGTTCTCTCCAAGGGAGCTTCAGTAGGTCTGAATGTTGCCCTCAAGGGTGAGGAAGTTACTTGGCCTGACGAAATGATTCCTGTAATGTAGAGCCAAAGTAGTCAGGCTTTAGAGGGATCCCTGCCAAGTTCTCCATTTACTTATTCAAGAAATATTTATTAAGCACTTACCATGTGACTTGGCACTATGTGCCAGGATTGGAGAGAAAACAAGACCTGGTGTTCTTGATCGGGAGAGATGTGTGAGCCAATTATAGTGATGCATTATCGATATTGAGAAAGAATCAGATAAGGTCAGCAAGAGGGCACATCTATGGGGAAGAAGATGAGTGTTGGGTAGGGGGAGGGTAGGAATGTCTTCCTAGAGGATGCGCCAATGAAGAGGAGTGATCAGGAGGTAGGCATGAGAGCTGTATTTCAGTCGGAGCTTGCAGGAAGAATCAAGTCAGGGAGGCATGAAATCACTTGGCATGTTTAATTTGAAGGGGTGAGAGAGCCAGGAGCTCTCCAGGGTGCAGAGGCAGCGGAGGGTGGAGGGGCAGGGAAGGCGGATCATGAATGGCCTTGCATACTACGGATTTGGACATTATTTTTAGGTGACACGGACCCACTAGGTTTTATAATCCTCCTGGGAAGAAGAATCATTCTCAGATAGTAAAGAGTCAAGGGGTACAAGACTGACCCCAGGACCATGGCCCAGCATGGATTCATGGACACGTGTTTCGAGGACTCCCAGAACATTGAGTTAATTTCCTGAATTCTGTATGCACTTTCTGCAAGGGCGATCAGGCCAAATCTGTACAACTGCCCTGGTTTTGTTTAGCTCCTCAATGTAACCATTTCTTTTGAGTTAGAGGAGGATGTCAAGAGTTGTGGGGGGTGGGCTGGGTAAGAATGGGGAGGCAAGACTGATGGGAGAGAACAAGGTTTTATTTGGAAGGAACCAAGCACATGGAGCTGCAGCTGAGGACACACAGGCTTGCAGAGGGGCTCTGTGGTGGGAGGTTCCCCAGACTCTTCCATGGGGGACACTGAGGTACCACTTTCTGTCTGTGACTCATCCAGTCTGACCCCAAAGCTGCAGAAACCTGAGTCACAGCTGCCCCAGGTTCTAATCAATGAGGAAAAGCTGGTCTCCTCCCTGGGACCACGTCCCTGGGCCTTGACTCAAGAAGGCACCAGAGGCAGGGTTGGGAGGCCGATTCTTCCTTCAGCTGATGGGAGAAACACTCCAGAGTTCACTGTGCCCATGGCACCTCATAAAAACTTCTCTATCTCCATCCCCTCCCTTCATCCTGAGAAAAGAGTGACATCCATTCTCTTTTTCATAAATCCTTATCACTTTGATCTTTCATAGCTGCTTTACCACCTGTATCCTGCTTCTATTTAAAAAAATACATAGGAGGGAGACATGAGGGAAGAGAGAGAAAAGACAGGGCACACACAGTGGTTTGTTGGCAGGTCCAGCAGAAGAACCCTTAAGAGAATTAAGGTGAATCTTTGCTCTGAACTTGGTCAGTTTTCTCTGATTCTTAATTTCAGTCATATATTCACTCAGCAATTACTTACTAAGCATCCTCTATGGGCCAAGCACTGGTTTGGGCTCTGAGAATTCAGAGAAAAGGTCCTATGTCATCCAGAGCTCATGATCTAGTAGGGGAAGACTAGTCCACAAACAGGTATAGAACAATCTGCTCTTTGCTCTAACAGAGGTTTCTATCAAGAACAAGTGAAACAGAAAATGCTAAGTCTACTTTGGGGAGCTAGAGATGGCTTCTTTGAGAAAAAGGTGAATCATGGGCATCACTGGTGACTGGGGGGGGGTGTCATTCTACGGGAAGGAGATAACACTTGCCAAGGTACAGAGGTGAGAGGCAGATTGACTTTTAAATATATTCCTGCCTTCTTGACAGGCTAGACCTGCCCCATCACCCTGAATATTTCAGTCCCCAGTCTTTCCCCTGGCATTGTAACACTGAGGTCCACATAAAGGCTGGTGGGCCGGGGAGCCTTCAATGAGATGTATAGGATTTTATTTCAAGAGACAGAATGTAAGTGGATGATATTTTCCATTACTCCTGGTGGGCGGGTAGCAAAAATCATCTCGTTCAAAATAATCCACTTTTTGAAGAACCTGAGTCAGCTTCTGTCTCAGCTCCAAGCACACGGCCTCCAAGAAGCAAACTGGCCCAGATGCACAAGGATGGTTTCTTTCACCCCTCCCACCCGGAATCCGGATATGAGTCCTCAAAGCTGTAATTTACAGAGTCTGATCTTAGGAGCCAATACAGGCACATGTCACATGCACCAAGGGCTTGCCAACTGCTTGAGCTAGCACACCAAGAAAGGCTTGTGCTTGGCTAGTAAAACTGGAATCAGGGAGGGAGAAGGAAGCTCTGTGACCTACCTGTACTTCCTGGCTTGCCGGTGACATTATTTGGTGGTAAAGGCTTTCTTCGTGGGGGCATGGGTCTAGGTGGCAAGAGTGGGCGGCGAGTGCCTGGGATTGGGGCTAAGAGATTATATTACAGATAAAATGGTCATAGGATTTACTCTATAAAAAATCACAGGTTTTAAAAAATATAGTGTTTGATAAGTAGCAGTTGGATGACAGAGAGTAGATTCTATAGAAAAGTGCCTATGAGTAATATTATCTGACATTCTTCTAAATTAGTGTTTGTAATGTACCCAGGGATAATGAAGCACATTAGTGTACAGAAATATTCCCTAATTAGAGATGAAAATGTATCAGTGCATTTGCCTTTTGAAAAACTTTACAGATGTATAGAATTTAACATCTTGAATTTCCCATACAGACTCAACAGTAGCATTTCCAAGCTTCATTATCTCCAATTGCCTTTGATTTTCAGACTACAATTCTTACACCCTTTTAGCTTTAGACTGGTATAGCATATAATTTCTCCTCTAGTGTCTGCTACAAGCCATCCTCCAACTCTATTATGAAATTATAATTAAACACGTTCAGAACTTCTCAAATGATTATAACAAAGTAGACCTGATGGCAGAAACAATAAGCCTGTTCCCATGGAGAGCAGGGTCAGTACCAAGGGTTGTGCACTGCACAAGGGCAACTGGCCAGGGGACTGTAAGCGGGAGGCAAAGTTTAATACCCACTGTGCTCACTCACCCACCCGTGAGCCCTGGGGCAAGGCTGCCAGCCCAGACTAAAGGGACATTTTTCTAAATGGTTTGCCTAAGGGCAGAGGGAAGAGATACCTTTTTATGACAAAGGCTGACAAGGCTAGAGGCATCCAGAACAGCCCACCTTAACTCAATTATTCTTTTAAGTCTTGTGTTATAGCTTAAAAATTCATCTTTTTTTGTATAATAAATCTTCAAGTAGAATTCACAATCCAGGGAAATGCCCTGTGGCTTTAAACACTTCCTTGGATATTAGGAATTGTGCATGTGTGTGCATGTTGTGTGTGTGCGCTCGGGGACAGTGAGTGGTGGTGACAGGATATAAATCTATAAATCTGTAGTCTAGGCATTCATACAACAGAACAGGTTTCACAGCATCCTTTTAAAAAGCACAGAGTTCTTATTCAATTCAAAGACATTCCAGCTTCATAATTTTGACCTATTATACAGAGCACCATCTTAAACTAGGAACATAAATCATTTCAGGCAAAAGCATATTATAACAAATCACATAAGAGCAAAACTTGTATACAATGAAAATTAGAATCCACGTGACTCTTCGGCATTTATCCATGGCGGCCCCTCAGAACGTTACGTAAAGTAATTACTAAATTGGTGCCCCACTGGCAGTTTTTATTTTCAGTTTGTGCACAAGGCATTTTCATTCCCCCGAAGGCAATATTTTAGTATGTTTGTCTAGCAATACCCATGTAGTGTTTGTTAGCATGGTTCTGATGCTTTGGGGACTGTGCGGATGCTGTTTTTTTTTTTTTCTTTTCTGCAACAAATGATACTGTGGTTACACATTACAGAGCAGAGCTGAGTGAGGGAGTCAGTGCCTCACTCCTTACCTGTTTTTTTTGTGGAGTAAGTAGAGTCCACTGACACATTTCTACCAGCACCGGATGGCAGTGGCATCTGCTTGACCCCTGTGAGCAGAGATAATGACAAAATAAATAGATAGCAAAAGTGTGCTAAATATTCTTTACGGAAACTTGGTAGAGTTGTCAGTGACAAGGTGCATTCTTTGCAGAGCAAGGGTACTGGTGTCTTGTGCCCAGACATTTTGATTGGCTTCTCCCATCTGCATATAGGGAAAAAAAGTAAAGCCTTATCACATTCATTGGTTGTGATATTTTGTCTGAAGAGAAAATAGTGTGTGGTTGTGGATGATGGTTTTGTTTTAGTTTTCCATCATGCCCACCCTGTGCTGCCTTCCTGGGTGGTGTTGGCTTACCAGGATTTTATCTACAATGAATAGCTATTTTTGGCCAATATTCATGGGTACATTTTGTGGTTTTTAACAAAAAAATTTCCTCTAACTCCTTGACCCCCATAAAACCCTTAAAATTCCAACGTGTTTGGGTTTGTACTTAATAAATTGACTTTAAAAATATTTTTTGAGAGGCCTTGGCTAGCAAGCTGGTTAGGCCACAGACTGGATCTATACCTCTGAGGTTTGTAAATCAGGTCTGGGCAGGCCTAGAACTCCAAATTGCTGTTTGGAAGAAACTGATCTGAAAATTACTTTGTGTGATATTTTATCTCCTAAGTCTCTCAAACACAATCTGGTGGTTATTTCTAAGTCATTCACCTAAATACCCCTGCTAGGATTTTGGGTACCGATCCTAAGGGTAGAGGGAACCAATTTAGGTTTCATCTTATTTTTTTTTAAATTATTATTATTTTACATCATAAAATAATCTCCCCTGAAGTAGCTAGCAGTCTTCATTGAGAAAGAATAAAAAGACATTTTTAGAATCTGAAAAGTAAATATTATATTAGCTATAATGGCTCATCCTAAAAAAGAATCCACACTCCAAAGACCTGATGATAATTCACATATTAAAACATAAGAATGAAACATTGAATTAATACACTAGTTAGTACATTAACAAGGACAAGCACAACCACAATGCTGTTTTGAGCATCATGTTCCAGGACTCTGTGGGGACATTACACACTCAGTCTTACTTAATGCGTGGGGAGATATACTGATTAAACATATAACCGAAGCTTTGCTTCCCAAAAATTAGAAGACACTTTCACATTAATTTATGAAATTATTAATTATAACTAATACAATTAACATTAATCAATATATTAATATATTACTAACATTTTAATTATTACTGTCATAATTATAATAATTATGATTCACATTAATTTATGAAACCTAATATTGCAATCTCACACCCTCTGCAGCTTGAATAAGAGATAATACATAAAATCATGGTGAATGTTGGGATGTAGCCAGGAATCAAAAGCTGTTTATCTGTGGTAGGAAAAAATTTTTCTGGGGTTAATGTCTATCTTGTGGCTAATCCAACAGGCATGGGAGAACCAACAGCTCATCCGCCTTCTCCCTGGGCCCCCCTCGCACAGGGCAGGAACGGAGCAGGCAATGACTCACTTGGGTGGTTCCTCTGGGCGTGGCTGAGGGGAATGGAACGTCCTCTCGTTTGTGTCACCGGGATAACCTGGCTTGGTGAGATCTGATTTACCATGATTTTCCGAGGTGACCCTGTATTACATCCTTTAGAAGGCTAGACGCCTAGTAGGCTACATGCGCCTTCAGTAGATCCTTCTTCACAGCCTTTCTCCCAATCTTTCCACCCATAAAAAGCAAAGTATTTTGATCTAAATCTGCGTAAGCACCGTATACATTCGTTGCCTGGCCTGAGCCTGACAACCTTTCTGTGTAGGAGACACGACCTGGCCCCACAGATGGAAAAAGTCAAGGTAAGGGGAGATCAAGCAACTCCCCTTGAACGCAGGGACTCACAGCTCAAGTGCAGCCATTCCCACCCACGTGTACACAGCCCCACAGCCAAGCTCTTCAGCACTAACTGGCCTAGTACAGACTGCTGTCTGTTTCCTGTCACCTTCTTCCTTCTGTTGAACAGAAAACCACACACCCCACGTGGCATCACTTGCCCGAAGCCCATGATACCAAGCCTAGATGTAATACCTGACTTGCCCGCAGTTTGACCTTCCCCAGAAACGTAATCTCAACTAACCGGTCAGCACCGGGGAGGTCATCTGTCGCCCGGGCCCCCTCCACCCCTAGAAGAAGATAAAACCCTTGCCCTTCCCCCCACCCCACCACTCCAGAAGAAGATATCCTGGCCTAAAAGTAAGTCTTTCTTTTCTTTTGCTAATACCCACCTTGGCTCCATGCTTCTTCCCATAAAAACTTTCATTTTTTTTCAACCCCTCGGAGTGTCCCTCTAGTAGCCAGTTGCCCTTCTGAACTAGCAATTCAGAAATTGTTGAATAAAACCAATTAAATCTTCAAATTTACTTGGTGACTTTTTATCCCCTAATATTTCTCTTACTCCTCACAATGCCTCTATGTGACTTTAACCCCCGGGCCCTATACTCTGTCTTGTGGGTGGTTTGAAGTGCCACCACCGGGTGAGGGCTAGATAACCACGGCTGACAAGCATGTGCCACTCAACAGGCCACTGGTGAGTGGGACTCGGAGCGATGCAAGGCTGGCATAGTTTCCCAACCAGGAACATGCAGGTGCACCGCGCCACAGGCTGGTGAAATGGAGACGTAGGGGAGAATCCAAAGTTCTGCAGCATCACTTTACGAATAAGACCAACGACATAAACATCCCGAGCCTCTTGTCTAATTAAGGGAGAAACCAGTGGAAACCAGCCGTTTCCTGTCATCTTGCGTATAGGTAGAGACGGAAGCATCATACTGTTAGGACCCTTAAAGCTAAGTCCCCAGATCAACAGAGTGTCAGCTGCTAAACTGGACTTGGCCCAGCTGAGAAACAGAGAAAGCCAGGGAGGTTGAGCACGTTGGTAAGAGCCCCTCAGAAGGCAGCCGTTAGACTCAGGGAAAAAGCACAGACTGGAGACAGGAGACTGAACCCCAGGTCTGGCCCTGCTTCCACCAAGTTTGGTTTGCTTGGCAGCAGTGTGAACACGGAACCTGGGGACCCGTGAACGTCTAAGAGTGCCCTGAACTGAGGAGAGCAAATGAAGGCCAAAAGTAGCAGAGAGGCAATGGAAGGGCAAAGGAGGAAGCCAGCAAGAGACACTGAAGAGAAAGAATCCTCAGGAATTGGCATCCAATCAGCCAGTCTGGCCCAGGCTGTGACCTGAATTCTTTCTCCCTCAGGCAGGATTAATCCACTATTTTCTCAAGGGCAGAGTTGGCTCTGGAAGCAACAGGACTTGAACTTCACTGTGAGCCCCCATGGCCATATGGGAATTCTCCAAAATGTCTGAATTTTTCACCCCTTAGCAATTTATTGTCAAAAATGAAGTAATACTTCGGGAATTTTTAACCATGGTAACAGAAACCATGCAAACAAACACAGCAAACTGGGAATCAATTTCCAAATGTATCAGAGACAATTCCCTGTGACTGAAAAGGAAGGGTGTTTATGGGTGATTGGTTTCCTCATCCTCGTCTCCAAATCTTAGCACCTGGCTAAAAAGTCAGGGGTGAAAAGCCAGCAGACTGGAAGATTTAGCCACGGCTCAGACAAACACATTCCTCACCCTGGAGGAGTCTGGGATCTGGTTGTCATGCACACTTCAATGTGGGGCCAGTGAAGTGTGGATTCCTCATTAGGAGAGAAAGGAGTAGAGAAAGGAGTCTAGGGTTCAGGTATTTGACATATCTGCCAAACCATATGTGCCAAGGTCGTTTCCAAATTACACTTTGTCTGGTACATAATGGCTTTCAATAAATGTTGGTTGAATAAAAGAAGTGTACAGCTCAGTGGCTTCCTTCTATCGAGAGAAAGCTGGAGAGATTGTCCAGCACATGTTTGGCAAACTTTCTGCCAAGGGACAGATGGTAAATATTTTCAGCTCTGTGGGCCATACTGCCTCTGTTACAACTATTCAACTTTGCCATTGTATTGCAAAAGCAAGCAATGTTTCCATAAAACTTTATTGACAAAAAAGACAATGAGCTGGATCTGGCCCGTGAGATTGTACTTTGTTCAGTCCCCTTGTCTAGGGCATGCTGGTTGCATCTCTGGAGTCAGAGTTCAAGTAGGTTATAATATGCAGAACACATCAGTTAAGCTGAGATGTGTCTCTGAAAATCCTGAAAAAGTAGAGTGCTGGAAAAATGACCTACCTACAACTTCATTCTCTGCAGGCTACTTTCTAACTTTAAGGTGGAGAAATATTTATACATATAGCCATGAAATGCACTTAAGCCAGGGTAAATATCTATAATGATGTTATAAAGTAAGAAACTTGGCTCAAGAAGGTTTAAAGACTCCTGGGGTTTATGGAATCATTCTAAGATTTTTATAGAGGCTCAAATAAACAAAGGTTCATGGTTTTGAGGCCTCAGAACCTTTTTTAGTCTTCCAAAGGCACAACCCTAAGTGGCCTAAGACCATGAAGAATATGGCCTATAAATCCTAAGCGGATTCTTTATCAACTGATCTTTTTAAAATGTAAAATATCTAGGCTGGAAACTTCAGCAAGAAAAACTATAGGAAAATATATATTAGGTGGACAATAAAGATCTGGGCAAGATGTCAAAGTTGGATAATGAATCATTTGACACAGAAATGGTGTCTCATTAAATCTTATTAAGACTCAATAGAGGTTAGAAATGAGTATAGATGAGATAGTAGGACTGAGTCAGGAAAGAAAATAAACTTACTGTGAATATCTGTATTTCTGTAAACCAATCAAATCAAAACTATGCAGAATCAAAGTAAGGTGAATCCATGTGAGTCTATAAACTAAACAGACTAGATTTTAAAATACTCTTTTTCTCACCAATTTTTCAAAACATTATTCCCCAGGCAAAGAGTTTTAGAGCTGTTAAATTTTCCTTTTAAAATATGTTACAAAATGTCATCTGTGATTTTGCGATTTTTGTACCATTTACTTCTTTTCATACCTTATTGCACTAGCTTAACACTCCACTTCTATTTTCAAAGGAAGTGATAAAAAAGGTAGGAATCCTTGCTTATGTTCTGGATATTAGGAGAAAAACATTCAGCCTTTCAATATTAAGTATGATGTTAGCTGTAGGTTTTTTACACATGTCCTTTATCAGAGTGAGGAAAATTCCTTCTATTTCTAGTGTTGAGTTTTCATCATGAATGGATTTTGAATTTTGTCTAATGGTTGATTTTCATATTTACTGAGATGATAATTTTTTTCCTTTGCTCTGTTAATGTGGTAAATTGTACTAATTTGTTTGAATGTTGAGCCAACCTTGCATTCCTAAGGTAAGTATCATTTGGTTGTTAAATGTTGATGTGGTAGACAGGGTGATGGACCACTCAAATCTCCAGTTAAGACTCTCTGAGCTGAGGCTGGTCCTGAAGGAGCTGACAGTGGGATGCTGTCTGCTGACTTTACTCCCTGCAGGTGGGCAGCAAGTCCTTCCTTAAAGAAGGATTCTAATAGACAAACACTAGAACATAGAGCAGGTGAAACACATTTTGGTTGGCGATGGTGATAGAGTAAGGAAAAGGGAAACAGTGAACTCAGCTTTGCTTACCTGTGCCCACCAACCTATTTCTAACAGAAACCAACCAACTAAAACCGAAGCAGCCCTGGCAAGAGACAAACCTTTTAAAGATGAGATAGATGAGTTATTACAAAGTTGACTTCATCTACACAAGAGGGTAACAGATGAAATTTTGTATTACAAGTGGCCCTGGAAAAATATTTATACTGTTGATAAACTAAAATGTAATAATGCTCTGTTTTCCCTCTGATAGACAATCAGCATTTTCCTAATGAGAATCAAGGTGTGATTATGCTGAAGGTTAATGGCTGTCAAGTTTGATCATAGCTACTTGTTCTTTCATTTGCTTTGTTGACATAAATGCCTTCTATTTTCACTTAGGCAAACTTCAGGGAATTATTTTGAATATTAAGAAGGTGGCTCTATTTAGAGTCAGATTGTTTACATCTACCTGAAACACTAGGCACTGCCTAATCCCACTTAAGGAGCAGTTGAGCACAAATAGATACTGGAATGCTTTCTTTTTTTAATGAGTTAGGAATTTATAGCATCTGCCTCATTAATTGATTTGAAGGGAATTGAATTCCTAGAACTGACATTGTAATAACCTAGTACAAAAACTAAATAAAATCTAAATGGTGTTTAGACTGAATACACATCTTCAGGTATTATTCACATTTCTTTCTCATTAGGGAACATTATGGGTTGATTATATAATATGCGTTAAACTGTAATTTTCATGTTTTTTCACAGAAAATGGTATAAGTTTTGCACTATTTTAAAAAGTATTTCAAGGGAACAATGCAATCTCATAGTAAGGCATTCAATAACTACCATTTATCCACTTAGTGAGTTGGGTGTTTGAACTTTTATCAGATCACTGTCCTACTTATCTGTATGATGTCTACTTCCATAGATCAGATTGGATCAGGGAAGTGTCACTGAATCCAAGCTGAGTGATTTGGAAACATTAATATGCTTGTAATCTGGGCAATCAACTGCTAATTGCTCTTGTTTAAATAGCATATTCTAGGTGGCTAACAGATGCAGGTCTTCAAAAAAATTATAATGGTACTTATGAAATTATAAACTTGAAAAACCAAGTGATAACAGTCTTAAAGACCAGGCCTGTATTTGCAAAGTGTTTTGGAATAATCAGGATCTTTTTAAGAATCAAGACTATATTTTGTAGCTGATTTGGTGAACTGCGTTTAGAAAAATGAAAAAGTCTTTTTTAATGTTTTCAAAGACATTTGAAATTTTGATTTTGGAATTAATTATAATTGTCAAGTCTATGAACTTCCAAAACTGGTTATATTAAGAACTTTTAAAACTGGTAAAAAAAAAAAGAAATTGAAATGTGAATTCAATAAATTATAAAAACTGAATGAAAACATTTACAGTTTAACAGGATCAAAAGGAAGTAACTCTGTGATCATTACCTGTTCCCATTCCATCCCATTTGGGCAACCCACTGGGTTTGGGTCTACTAGGTTTCGTAGTCGTCTTATTCAAAACTACAAATAAGCAGGAAATAAACAGTTTAGACATTTTCTTATTAAAAACTTGCAGCCAAGGAAAATAAAACTTTCCGAAGAATTGGAAGTCATTTAACTGGGCAATAAAAATATGATGGTGCATCAAAAATTATTGTTCAGAATAGAGAAATTACAGTTATGGTATAAAAATTATAGGCTTGAATTTGGGAATAGACATCTGAGTTTGGACTCTGAGGTGATCACTAGGCTGGAATAAAAAAGAAGGGAATTTAAATTTCTGAATGACAGGTATCTTACTTCATTTATAAGTACCAGATAGATTCCAAAATGGGACTGAAAAAAGATCAGGACTACATATGCCTAATGAAAACCCAAAACTTAGGTGTATTTATTTTAAAGCCTCAATTCATAACACATAAGGTGGTGGTCCTTCTGGAGGAATCTCTAGGTACAGATGCTCCCTCAGGCCTGCCACAAGTCCATGGTTAAACACAGAATCCACTTCCAAGCTCTTGTTTTGACTTAGCTTCCTCCACTGTACCTCACAGGACACAGGGTAAGCACCCAGTTACTGTTAGCCATTACTGTTACTGCTTCATTATCTTGTAGATTGCTTAATACTACCAGCCACATGTTAAGCCCTCTAGAGCCATCATGCTACAACAGTCCCATGGAGATGTATTTGTTTTTTAAAAGATTTCTGCACCTATTACCTTTAGGAGTTGGAGGATAACTCAAATATATATATATATGTGTATATATATATATAATATATATATATGTATTTATATATATACAATATATATATAGACTCCTCCGTAAACTAAAGGGTAGAAAAATGTATGTTCTTCTTTTTTCCATGTGTCTGGAGAGATGTTCACAGGAATGTTAGTTTACAAGCCAATTTTGTCATTTAGAACTTTAAGACTTCTTAGAATCATAGAGGGAAATAAAAGGGCAGAAACACCAGAGGCTCTGGCCTCTGGACTACGTCATCCCTTCAGGTTAACTTTTCCCTAATAAGCTCCCGTAAGTGAGCTCCTACATCCTTTGGTGAATTTAATAAATTTAAAGTATTTTCCAGTTTAATTACCACTTTATCTTTGCTGTTTACAAACTGCAAAATGTGTCTGGTTGTTTGTTTTATCATGTGAAAGAATCAAGTAAAAATATTCTCCCCGAGCAAGAGCCTTTCATACTGGAAGAGACCATCTTCTTTCAAAAGATGACATTTGAAAACATGCAAGACATCACAGCTCATGCTAACGCAATCTCTGTAACTGCCACGGAAAACTAAAGGAGAAGGGGAGAGCGTGTGCGAGTTATGCACAAATGCTATTTTAAAACTGCTTTTATATGGCTAAGTTTCTGTAGTGGTCTCTGAATCTGATTATCCTTAAAAATCTCAGCAAAGTCTTGTCACTTCCACGGATTCATCATTATCTGTATTTATCTACAAGGATCAGGATTTCTGTATGTCATTTATTTCACCTTAAGGGTATCTCTCATTTGGTACATTTGGCTGTTTCAGCACATCTGATGTCTTCTTAGATGTGCTGATTATTTAGATCGTCAGAAACAGAAACTTACCAGGTCTGAAGTGTGGTTTGTCGGGTGTTCTGGGCCTCACAGGGGTAGTGTACAATCTGTGTAGTGCTGAAACAGAGGAAACATTTCATATTTAATAACCAACACCCCACTAAATGGAGAGGCCTACTAAATGGAAAGTCAGCACCCTACAGACCAGCAACTTTGTACATTTTGTATGGGAGTATCAAGAACATCTTTAAACCTCCAATTACACATTATAGCACTGATGCTAAAGGAAAGCAAAACAAGTGAAAATATTCATGACTGGAAATCAAAGATGCACACAAAGTGAGGTAGGCCACTGGTAAGGTGTGTTCAGGATTAGTCATCATTTAGTCCCTGTTTTTCAAGGACATTTATTTCACCACGTAGTTGCTTAACACAGTAAACATATAAGCCAACCATCCATCCATCCATGTGTCTGTCCATCTGTCCAATAACCCATCCATCCATTCACAACTTGTAATTAGGGAGCCACTGTGGAACATTATTTTGACAAAGAAGACAAATAATCTTAAAGGCAAAGAGAGGAATAGGTTTAAGTACGTGAGAACAAGAGTAGAAACGTGGTCTCTATCTGTCTTAGTTCACAAACCCTTAAGTGAATAAATACTCACTTAGTGCTTAATAGCTTTAGGAATAAAAGAAAATGACCTCTGGTGTCCTTCCCATCAAGAGACGATGAGCAAAGATTGAGAACTCAGACAGCCCTGGGACCAACATGCCCCCTTGTTACTGGCACAGGGAAGACCACTAAGGAAGACTTGTCAAATACACTTAAAAATTAGCGACAGCTGTAATCAGGCAAATTTACAAACAACTCAGCTGAATTCGTTTTGCTTCCTAAACTTTTAAAATGTGTGTTCATCCTGGAAACTGTCTATCCTTCCCTCCCCTCCTCCGCCCCCTTGACACACACATTGTGTCCGGCCACCAACTCTCTTGGTAATGCTTTAGCTAAGACTGGAAAAAATTTTTCTCGAAAACTATGTAAGTAGATTACATCGTTTCAATGATTTTCTTCACATCTTGAGTGGGTATTTATGTAACTATAAATCAGCAAATGCCTTGCCTACAACATTAAAAAAAATACACCTGCAAAACAGATTATAATATAGCTCATTTATAAGCCTCCACCGTGAAGACTGATGAGCAGAATTTTGCCACACTTCAGGCCAAAAACAGCAGACACATACTGAAATTCTCTGTAGGTTTAACGGGGGCCTTGCAAAGTGTAATAACTAGCGTGAACAGAGGTACTGATGTTATAAAAACAGTCAATTCTCACACACCCTAAAATGTGTGATGATGATTTGCAAGTGTTTTTCTTAAATTTTCTTTGAGAGTGGTAGGAGTCCCTGTCAACGTAACATATTGCAGATTTGTTTTACATTTCTTCGATGTTAGATTGCTTTTGCTTAAAGAAATACAAGAATCATGGCTCTTCTTAGTCTCATTCTAGAATATATATCAGTTTTAAAACCTTAGACAGAAAAACTTAGAAATAATCAGCTGTACATTCATTATTTCAAATTCACAGGATCAGAATTTTTGTTTTATTTTATTTACAGTCTTTACTTAAGTCTTGAGAGAACTTTGTATAAAAGAGCTGACATATAACTTAAGGCTGTGAGTTACTCACATAGCTCATCACCATATAACACATGGCCTTAAGAAAACTGCTCGAGGGTTTTAATTTTAAATTTAAAAACAGACAAAGAAGCGTTATGAGAATGTAACACTGTGAATGTCATCTCCACATGGTTTTGGGTGACTAATAATAAAAATAATTTTAAAAGATGGCTTAATATCTGAATAGTTTTCATAAACAGTATTTTAAAAGAACATTAAAAATCCTTGATGAAGATAACATCAAACACAAACAAAAAGAGATTACAGGAGAAATGACCTGAAGGGTCAGGTGGAGGGGAAAGTAGATACAACTTTCCCTGGGTGGTGTAAGGACTGGGGAGCTGGAATCAGTCATCAAAATGTCCCCAGAATGGCTCTGGCCAAGTGGCTTTCTACCAGGGGTTGAGATGAGAGGGGCACAGGAGAGGAGCTTGAATACATCAGGGATTCCGTTACAGCTGCAGGGAATTGTCTCAGCAGACAAAGGAGCAAGGATGCCGCAGAGGAAAGGTGCTGATGATTCTACCAGTGGATTCATGCCTTTAGGCACTAAGTTTCTTTGGAGCCCTTGGGCTTAGAGAACAAAAAGCCACACAAGTCCTGGTATGTGGGTGGGTGGGATGTGCAGATCAAGAGGAACAATTTCACCCCTACAGCATCTCAAATTATTGTGTGCTGTCTTAATGTATCTAATGTCTGCTGTCAAAACCAAACCAAAACACAACACAACACAACAAACCAAACATAATACAGTGGATTGACCTCCTCCGCAGAGCTCAGGCACACGTTTATGAGGGCTGGGCCAGAAGATCCCAGGACACAGTGTGCCATTACTAAAGGTGACCCTCTACTCCCCAGAAGGGTTACTGGGCTGGACCAAGTTGGAAAGAAATTCCTGGTGAGCCCCCTTTAAAGATCCTTGGCACAAGTCTAGAAAAATATGAATCTCAGAGCTGCATAGTTTAGGCTCAAGCTAAGGCTCCTCAGAACATAAGAAAATAATTAAAACACAGTATATTATATACATATGTTAAGACAAATCATAGAATGATTTCAGATCCTAGATACACATCCAATCAACTGTGAAACCCATCTAATAAAACCATGTTCAAGAAGCAATTTGATGAAAATTCCACATATATTTGTACTGGTGACACAGTGTTGATCTTCCCATGAAAGAAAGAAAAAGCAAAAACAAGAACAGAACAGGCTTATTATGTTTTCACCCTCAATTCTGAAATCTACAAAGCTCTAAAAACCTGAAATCTTTTTCTCACTTGGCAATACAGCCCGAGTTGAATAGGGTCTGTATTTATCCTCCTTATTATAAACATTTGTGTGTTTTACCATAAGAGCACCAGAATTTGATTATGAGACTCTAGCTAACTTCTGTTAAGCCAGACATTAAAGAGGTTTGCAAAAACATTAAAAAATAAACATATCAGGGTGGGGAATGGATGTAACAGGACTGAACATCTGTTGTTAATGGCTGAGGGTGGTGAAAAGACTTCAGGAGGGCTGTCATTATATTAGGCGCCTTACTTCTGTGTATACTTAAATAAAGAAAGGTTAATAAATAAAAAGGTAATAAAGTAAATAATAAACATTTAAAACATAAAAATTAAACCAAAGGAGCTAAAAATATTTAGAAAATTTACAAGAACCGTCCTATACCATAGAGTGTAGTCTCAGTCGTATTTATTTAGTATAAGTACTTCTCTGCTTATTATAAAATGTATACCTTAAAATTAGATTTCTTTTATTGTTATCATCTCCTCATATTATTTTAAATTTCTTTCACCAAATTTCCATCCCAAATTACAACTGACAATTGAGTAAAATAAATTTGTCTCCCAAATCCTTAAAAAAGGTTTACATTTGTTTTTTTTGGGTTTCCTCCTGTATGCTAGAGGTAGAGATGGGTACAAGAAGGTAGTTAAGGAAAAAAGAAAGAAAACACGAAAATACTGGAAATCCACAACTGATTACAACCCAGCTAGGACAGAGAGATATAAAAAGGAGAGACTTCCGAGAGCACAGAAATGAAACAGAGATTTGTGTGGGTGAGTTCATGTCTCAAAAAGTAGGAGGAAGAAATAAAATGAGGAAATCCCAGAGAAAACCTACCTGGATGTTTTAATATTAAGTCATCACTAAAAAATGAATTTTCTTGTTACTAATTTCCTTTCTCAAGCTGCAGTATCAACGTATTCATCAAGTTTGGGAGATGGGACAGAGGGAGAGAAAGAGGAAGAGAAAGGAGGAGGAGAAGGAGGAAGGTGATGAGGATTCTTATTTATCTGATGTGGAAAATGAGGCAAAAGAAGGTCAAGCACGGGGAAAAAGTGGAAGCTTTCTTAGTTAACAGCATCAAGCAGTTGACCGTACAGTCAACAGTAAAGCCCAGGGGGAGGGAAATAGCTCAGTGGCAGAGCGCATGCTCAGCATGCAAGAGGTCCTGGGTTCAATCCCCAGCAGTACCTCCCTCAAAATAAAATAAATAAAAAGAAAAAAGAAAAAAGAAAAAAAGGAAGTGCCAAAAAAAAAAAAAA